CACAGCTGTTCTTTGGCTAAGACCACCTTAAAAGCTTTCATCCACCAGGAAAAGGTTGGTCTGAAAGATACATTGACTTTTTGTCTTAAAAAAAAAAGACTACCTACCTACCATTGAGGAAAGAAGCAACCAGGCTTCAGTTATTGAAGAAATTAAAAGAGCACAAAACTGGCATAATAGTGTTGAATAGCAGTAGATGGAAGAACTGAATTTGGTAAAGTCATTAGCTGTTATATTCTGGAACACAGAGCCAGCCATTGGCAGACTACAGAAACCAGGACACTGCACAAAATTAAAAAACCCATCAGCGAACAAGGCTTTACTGACAACTTTCCATATATTTTTAAAAAATAAGAACACAGCAGACAGTGTCACGTATTAAAACAAACAAAATGGGATTCATTAAAATGGGTATTAAAAATATTAGAAACTAATACAATTGTAGAATTTGGTGGGAGGACTCTTAGGGCCTCACTCAAAATAATTGGCCTTAAAAGCAACCAGGCAGTGAGAGACACAAACACAGAATCAGAACAAGGGAAGAAAGAGGAAATGGATACAGAGTAAATACTAGGCAGTGTCTTTGACTATCACTATCACCATATGTTCTTCTTCTAACTTTCCCAATGTTCTTAGTGCAGACTGGAGGTACTGCTGAGAAAATTCACAAGGAGGAAAAGCATAAAGCATGCCTGTGCTGTCCCTGCCCTTTGCCCCTCCCACAGGAAGGCTGATCACTCCTGCAGCCTGTTTTTGTTTCAAGTAAGAGACCAGGTTCCTGAGAAGCCGCCTTTGTAAGCCAGGCTCCGCCGCTGGGAAGGTCCCTTCAGCACTTGCTCCTTGAGCAGCCTGGGTAGCTAGCAACACAGCATAGCCGTTAGGGCTTCCTTGCTTGATACGTCGAGTTACTTCATCCAGTTTGGGTTGATCCAACCGAAGTCTTTGAGCAATCTTAAGCTGTGTTAGCTTTCCACCAGACAAATGGTCTTTCAGAAGCCCATTGATGACTCCCAAGTCTCCTTCAAGGATGTGCATAGATGTAGGGAAGCAGCTGTTTTTAAGGACAAGTAGCCCATTCCAAGCAAGCTGCAGCGTGTGGGCATAATCAGACAAAGTTTTTAACTTCTTTGTTTCAGATTTGGACTCTTCATGAGTCTTTGATTCAGACTCACCAGTTCGGTGATTGCGTTCACTGTCTCTTTTTTTAGGCTGAGGAGGATCAAATGTTTCACGGTGAGCTTTCTCCTCTAATGCATGTCGATTATTCTGCAGTGAGTTATTTTGTTCTTTTTCCATGGTGGATTCTGTAGTGTGATTCTCTTTCCGAGCCCGATCTGGACTGCGATCTGCTCCTGGCCCACCAGCCTTTGTCCTGCCTCTGTCCTCATATGGTGAATGGGTAGTCCTCCCACGGTCATTGGAAAGGCTACGACGTTTACGCCTTTCCTCCCAGGGCTTGAGAACACTGCGATCACTATCACTGCCCCAACGTTCTCCACTCCGACTGCGTGCTGAACGACTGTATGTCTCCAAATTATTCCTGCGCTCTGCATTTTTGACAGAGCTAGCCCAATCAGCCTCTAGAAAACTCCTTTCCCTGTCTGAATAGAGGAGATGAGGAGGAGTCCTGTCTCTTACCCTTAAGTCTTGCTCCAAACTCCTGTGTCTGCTATAGCCTTCAGGAAGCAATTCATAGTGTACAGGAAGTGGTGCAGGTTGGTACTGTTGAGGATAGCGTGCCTCCTCAGCTTTAGCAAAATCCACTCTAAGTCTCCTGTCTGGACCGCCCAAAGGGAAGCCTCTCATTTGTGCACAGGCAGCCTGAGCAGCATCCAAACTCTCATACTGAATATAAGCAAAACTGTCCCCTTTTACATAGTCAATAGTCCTAATGCTACCAAAACGATCAAATTCCCTAGCAAGAGCAGCTAGGGAAGTACTTGGACCAAGACCACCAACCCAAAGTCGGGTAGTCGGGTTGGCCTTCCCATAGCCAATTTTGATAGGGTTTCTGCCAACAACCCGCCCAGACATAGCAACTTTGGCCCGATGTGCCATGTCCAGGTTTTGGAACTTAAGGAAGGCATAGGCTCCACCCTGACCCCGTGCAGGCCTCTTGATCACCACTTCCTCAATGATACCGTATTTTTCAAAGGCACGCCTCAGTTCCACCTCAGAGACGTTGTGATCTAGATTGCCAATGAAGAGATTCCGAGTAGCTCTCTGATCATCTTCAGGCATTAAATCCTCCTCAGCCACTATGGGATAGCTGTAAGGACGGCCACGTTCATCATATAACCCATAGTAATCCAGCACCCTTTCCCTTTCTCGAGAAAGCCCCAAGGCAACAGCTTCCAAGGCAAATGCTGCTGCTGCAGCTTGAGCATGTCGAGGTCTCGGCTCCCTCAGCAAAGGGCTGGCGACAGGAGACAGCGATCTTTGTTTATACGGATAAACACCATGGATGGGAGGGAGAAACGCCAGGGGTTCAGGAGAGGGGGTAGGTGGAGGAGTACGGCTCCGTCGACCCCCTCGCAGGTACACAGGCTCCACCTTCAGAGGACGATCATAAAGTAGAAGTTGCCGGGCTCTGGCATGCCGTCGGGCATCACGGGCATCTGCCGGGTGCCTGAAGTTAACATAAGCAACACGGCCAAGTTCAGGAGTGTGGGAGAGCTTGACGCTAATGTCACTGGCACCACCGCTAGCAAACCTCTGGAACTGGCGAAAGAGGCCATCCTCCAGCAGCTGGTCAGGTAAGGTTGGGCCCAGGCCACTTACAAGCAGAGTCTTGTAGTCACTGGAGCCAGGAGGCTCACCTGCTAGACCCACCCCGGCTGGCAGGCCGAGACCAGGTGCCAAGAGGAGCGATGGGGCTGCCACTGGTGGAGGCCCACCCAGAAGCAAGGAAGGGGCAACCACCGCTGCAGGGGGCACTTTGGCCTTGGCGACCCCCAGCGCCCGAGAAGACGACGAGGACGAGGACGAGGAGGACGGGGTAGGCGGGACCGCGGCAGCCGCGGCGGCGGTCTGGCTGCTGCTGTTCCTGGCGCTGGAGGAAGCTGCGCGGTGGTTCGAGTCGCCTCCGCCTCCTCCTCCCGGCCGCTCCTCCCCGCGATGGCTCCGCGAGCTGGAACCACCAGCGGCAGCCTTGTCCCGGCTGCTGCGCGACGAAGCGGAGGTGGAAGCGGACGACGAAGAG